CCGCACATAATGTAGAGGTGCTCCATCTTGCATTATTTTCTATGATTTACATGTATATTTAAAACGTGATTGTGAAGGAGAAACAAATAATAGAGTAACTGTAACCCTACTTCTGGCCCACCCTGTATATTTCAATGCAAATTTTAACCATTTTTACAACAAGTAACACGTATCTTCCACACATTTATTTTTATTTTCATCAACTAAAGTTTGAAAGCTTTACGTATCTTTGTTTGTTTTTATCAATAACTGGCTATTCTTTAGTCGGTTAGGATTACTTTCAATTTTTTTTTTAATATTCCAGTCAAACGATTTATAACGAAGAGAAAAATATTCATAAAATAAAGTTAACACGTGTACACAATAGATCCCTCGATTAGACTTTTAATAAAATTACTTCACATAGTTTATGTAAATATCGTAATTGCCAGCATTACTAAAGTTCGTATCGCCATCTATGAGGTATAATTGGGAACTATATCAGTAAAAAAATTAGATGCCTTGTTAAATATATGTATGTGCTATCTAAGATCTCATACAAATTAGTAAAATATGATAATACAACTTTAAAATGATGCTTCCTTCTTAGATCTATATGTCCGTTAAGAGATTTTAACATTTTATGTTGCATATTTACAAGTCATGTAATTTTAGGATCAGCAATAAGATCCAAGCACAGTTGGAACTGAGGTTTCTTTTGTAGGAGCCATTTTAATTTGTTTTTTCTCAGAACTATACACACCCATTGTAAACAAGTCATCCAAAGTCTCACCTGTCGATAAAAACGACTCTGTCAAATGGTGGTTGGCTGTTTTTCGTTTGACTACAGTGCTGACACCTATCCATACCAGAGGACACTACACCATCATCAGGATAACAACCTTTCTTAGAAAGAATTTGTCTTCTCTCCACATCGTGACAAGGAAACTGGTTGTCACTGGAACAGGATGTACATTTTGATGATCCACACATCTTCATGTTTACATGCGTTTTGCAGATTGTGTAATCTGTTGCTAATGGTACAGAGCCTCTTGTACACATACCATCATCTTTGGAAGAAGACATAGTACTTGCTTTGTCTACAACTGTATAATGTTTAGTACCACCTAAGGACCCCACCTGACTAGACAAGTTCTGGATTTCTTCTGCCACACTAAGGCAGGAACATGCTTTTACACTTTCCTTCCGGAAGCATTCTTCCAGTGGAACTGCATTTTTTCCAGGAAATACCAGAATAACCTACAAATGAGAAAGAGAACCCACTATTATATGAAAGGAAGAGGATTTTTCAAATATCTTTTAGGATTGTGAAGAGAAAGTTTTGTTACGTTAGATCACTAAAAGACCTTCCTTAAATTTTTTTACTTGTATTTTAAAATTATCGAAATGGTTAACAGGAATGTTGCTCTGAAGAAACTTGTATGTGAAATCCTCACTAGAAAATGCAATATGGTATCAGGAATCCTCTTTTTTAAAACATTTTCCTAAAGTACAGTATATTTCCTTTTTAAGGAAAATTTACGATGAAACATTATACTTGGAAATCAGAATAAATAATGCACAAGATGAAGCTAAAATGATTTTTATGGACCTACATAGATTCGCCAGCTTCTGGCACTAAAAAAAACTAATCTTTTATTCACTCTTTTAACTATAGATAACTTTTATTGTCATTGAAATAATAGAAAAGAAATTTTGTACACTTTACAACCTGAAATCACATATAGACAAAACCCGAGCACTTCTAAAAAGTGAACATTTCTTCATCAATTTGCAGCTCATGGATAAAGGTCCACTTTCTGAAAGCTCCCATATTTCATATTTTTATCCTTAATTTATTTTTTGAACCTACATATTTAGGTAACATCATGAACGAACACACATATAAGTATTGCAATCTTTACACTTCAAATTGGCATGTTAAATTCACCTGGAATTTAAAAAGGAAAAACCAAAACACATTTGAAGATTTAAACACAATTATGAAATTCATTGTTGATTTATTTACATTTGTTATATGTTTTAAAATATTTTTTAAAGCAACAGGAAGACTGTATCAAAAGCAATTTATTCTGGACCACCAGTTCACAAGTGTTCATGTAATGGACAGTTATTTTGAACCACCAGTTCAGAAGTGTTCATGTAATGGACAGTTATTTTGAACCATCAGTTCAGAAGTGTTCATATAATGGACAGTTATTTGGAACCATCAGTTCACAAGTGTTCATGCTTGTGGTAATGGACAGTTATTTTGAACCACCAGTCCACAAGTATTCATGCTTGGTGAATACAAGAAATGTAGTGAGTTACTTAAATTTAGATCATCACTATTTTGTTCTCCTTACTATCACCCCTTTGTCTGTTACAATGAAACAACCTGTTAAAAAGAACACCTTGTGGACAGTGGCAGAACTAGCAAAATGACCTTAGACTGTGTAAAGCTTTAGAGTCGACACAATCAATACGTTTTATTTAATAAAACATCAAGGTAAATGATTTTTAAATTTAAAACCTTACAAGTTGACAAAATGTAACTGTCTTCTTATTAGCTTAAATGCATTGCATTCACTGTGATTTTCTGCCAGTTTTATCTTGGAAAATATTTTATTCCCCTCTCACATGGATTTTATTGTAGTTGAAATAAATGTAATGGCCATTTTTCTTAATAATAAAACAATTTTACAGAACTAAGAAGTAAAGAAAGTAATATTTAAATAATATTTGCACATTCTTGCTAATTTTACATTATTTTACTCCTCTTTTGAACAAGTCTTTTCATTTATTTAAAATATAGTCCTCTATGTCAAAGTTTAAAGGATCACATCTGAGAGTTAATAAACCCTATTATCACTATAGCTGGGCAATTTCTGTAATTTGCTAATTAGTTAACCATCAGGTTATCTAATTTATTACATTCAATAGTTAACCATCGGGTTATCTAATTTATTACATTCAATAGTTAACCATCGGGTTATCTAATTTATTACATTCAATAGTTAACCATCGGGTTATCTAATTTATTACATTCAATAGTTGACCATTAGGTTATCTAATTTATTACATTCAATAGTTGACCATTAGGTTATCTAATTTATTACATTCAATAGTTGACCATTAGGTTATCTAATTTATTACATTCAATAGTTGACCATTAGGTTATCTAATT